TTGGGTATTTAGCGATGGGACCAGGGTGACTGTCCTAGGTGAGTCTCATCTTCTCCCTCCTTCCCTGCTCTCCCAGAGGTTTGGACAAGTTTCTCCTCTGTCTGTTCATTTCTGTGTCTTCCCTAAGCCTATTGTCATACTTTTACCCTTCCAAGAACCTGGGGGCTACCCCTTTATCCCACATACCTCAGTCCCACACTATCAGAAACTTTACCTCTGGGAGCGCCTGGGTGTCTCAGTCAGTTAAGCATCCGACTTCGGCTCAGGTCATGATCTCACAGTTTGTGGGTTTGAGCCCCACGTTGGGCTCTGTGCTGACAGCTCAGAGCCTGGAGCCTGCTTCAGATTCTGTGTCTCCCTTTCTCTCTGACCCTCCCCTGTTCACACTGTCTCTCTCTCTCTGAGAAATAAAATGAAAACATTAAAAAAGAAAGAAAGAAACTTTACCTCTATCCTCAGAGGCAGGAGTATAAGTGCGATGACCTATAGACTCCACTCTCTCTCTGCCGAGGTCATATTGGGTCCTAAATGTGCTCTGTTCCTTCCTCTCCTATCTGGCCTCCTGTCAGTCCACCTTTGTCTCTGGGAGTCACTAAAATCCCCATATAAAAGGGAAGAGAGAACATGGAACATTGTGGGGATAACAATGTGGAGTATTTGCAGGGACACAGCACCCTCAGGGCCATGTCTGGGGACACACAGATCAGAGGTTCAGGGAAGGGTCCAGAGCTCTGGCATTCAGGATCCAGGCCTGGCAATGGTGCAAGCATGGAGCTTTCCCCCAAGCTTCTGGGGGCACCTCAGAGCCCTGAGCTGGCCTGGGGACTCAGGAAAATCAGCAAAGAGGACAGAGGAAGAAAGAGAAAGGCCAGGGAAAGGGTCATAGGATGACAGGATGTGAGAACAAGGTGGACACTGGAGTGCCTGTAGGACATACTTCCTGCTCCAAAGAGAGGCAGAATCTTTGGAATAAAGGCTATAATGATAAATTTTCAGGACATGGGAGATGAGGGTGCAGAAAGACAATGGAATGAGAGAGTCACAAGGCCAGGCAGACAGACTCTTTATGATCACCAAGGATCCTACCCCATCAGGGACAGCAAAGACCTCACAGAAGTGTCAAGATAGAATGGTCCACAGGATTAGTCAATGGGAGATCACTGAGCTCACATCATAACCTTGGCCACAGATGGACAAATATAGAACCAAGACAGACACTGTCAAAATGCCAGAGGATGCATTAGCAGGACAGTAAGAGTTTGATGTCTGTGTGGGAGGAAAGTTCCAGGAGAATCTCAGTATGAGTGGTGACAGGAATACCCCTAAAATATTCCCAGCACAAGTGGGGAGATAGTTGAGGAACACCTAAACCTAACTCCCCTACCCTCCAAGACATGGATATGTGGACCCACAATGGGAACTGGGGACCTAACTGGATGCTCAGAAACTTGTACCCTGAAGAAGACTGAGTGCAAGAGTCCCTACAGGGGATGCTAAACCTCTGAACTCCTGCACCTCCCCCACCCCACAAGTCAGCCAAAGTCCTCACCTTCAGCTCTCCCCCTCCCCCCCTCCCATGAAGAGCTCAGTGCCAACGAGGCCACTCTGGTGTGCCTCATCAGTGAACTCTACATCAGTGGCTTGACAGTGGCCTGGAAGGCAGACGACACCACTGTCACCCAGGGCGTGGAGACCACCAAGCCCTCCAAACAGAGCAACAACAACTACGTGGCCAGCAGCTACCTGAGCCTGTCACCTGACCAGTGGAAATCTCGCAGCAACTACACCTGCCAGGTCACATATGAGAGGAGCACCGTGAAGAAGAGAGTAGTCCCTGCAGATGTTCTTAGGTCAAGACGTCCTCTACCCACTCAAAGGGCTTAGAGCCACAGGATCTCCAGTAAGGATTCCCCTTGCACCAGGATCATTCCAGACCTTTTCCCAGCTCAATAAAATGTCTATTATTCAATCAGAATGCAGGCTATCTGGTAATTTGGGTCCAGATTTTGGTCCAGAACTCAACTATCTTTAGAGGGGGGACACGACTCTTTTGACCTTGGAAAAGGAGATGGCAGAAGGTGCCCTCATGTTTTGTGAGGGGCTGTTTTGGTCTCAGACAGAACCATCAGAGAATACTCCTGAACAGAAGATTGAAACAACAAAAATAAAATAAACCATCTTCCACAATGTCTCAATGTTTTCCTTCTTGTATGAACCATGTCCAATGCTAGTCATAGCTGCCCTCACTGATCGCAAGCCCCCATGATTTCTTAAATAATCTCTGAGTTTCTCCCTGGATCTGGCATCTCACCGTCTACAACAAGCCCTCCTCTGAACATACCTACTCACTCTTCTGGTAGGCTCCCACTCGGTGCCAGGTTTTCCCTGGTTTCCTACCCCATGTGGACATTCCCCATCATCATAGCCTAGAGCCTTCTCTGTCTCACATGAGAACAAGTGCCCCCACCCTCCCAGGGACACTGAACTATTCCCCTCCCATAGACTCCCAGTCACACTCACTACAAAAGCCCCTGCCTGGGCACTAATCACTCACACCCACACTCTTACTGCTGGCACCTGACAACAGTGTCTTTTGGTTCACACTTGCATCCAAGGTCTTTGGGAAACAGACTCCAGCTATGTTCTCTGGGACCCCTCTGAGGCTAGGCCAACTAAAAGCCCACCACTTGTGTTTTGATAACCCACCTGGGCCTCTGTTATAAATCAAGGCTCAGATTCTGGGAATGGGCTGCTGACAGGTTTCTCAACTGACTCATCTTCTTGGGATCTCAGTGTGGGTTCTGATCATAACATACACACAGGTACGAATGAACAGAAACATACATGCACACACATTATGATCACAGACCCTTTGGTCCACTTACAACATTGCCATGGTGGACATCTCTATGGAAGGATCTGGAGGAGCTGGGGTAGAAGAGGTTTCACAGGGAAGCCAGGATATTACATGAACAAAGACAACTCCAACTCTGTCATCCCTACCAGAGCCAGCCACCAGCAATAGGTTTCAGGGATTCTGGTCGAGGCTAGAGAGAGATATAGATCTCATAACCTGCTGGGAGGGAGATCTCATAACCTGCTGGGAGGGTGTTTACACACTGATCAAGAGCAAATCAAAGAAGACAGAGTTCTGGCTCAGTATGCCAATTTGTCACAGAAAGAAGAATGCCAGACCTGTGTGGACCCTCTGAGCTCTGCAGGTGATGTCCCCAGGCCAGGATACAGGCAAAGACCCTGGGTATCAGGGATCCTCCTCACAATGTGAAGGTCCAGTTCAGAAGTACAGTATGTGTCCTGCATGGTGGTTGACCCTGTGATAGTAACGCTGCTGTATGTGGGACATGTGTGATTCTCATTGAGTTCAAGAGTCAGGTGCAGATTTCCACACTTCGGCTCAGGGTGAAATTGTAGAATCATGTTTCCCCCAGCACTTAGGTTCCTCTCTAGGCCCTGAGCTTCTGAATCCCTGCCTTTTTCTGGTTCTTCTGGAAGATAGAGTAGTCACTTTGTCCTGAGCCCCTTGAGGGCAGCTTACATTCAGCCCACACACCCCTACAGCTTGACATCTACCCTCAAAAGGCTCAGGACAGAGTGACCATCTACCCTTCCTTCCAGAAGAACCAGGAAAAGGCAGGGATTCAGAAGCTCAGGGCCTAGAGAGGAACCTAAGTGCTGGGGGAAACATGATTCTCCTCCCAACACTTCCCATTCCTAACCCAAAACCTGCACAGTTTCCTGTGCTGACAATGTGGTGGCATATCCAGAACCCTTCCCATGAGTCCCAAGTCTTCAAAGGGCTCCCAGCTTCATCACCTCTGTGTGGAAACAGCCCTGCTCACCCCTTCACAATGACATCCTGACAAAGACTAAGGAGAGCACAAAGCACCTTCCTTTTTTTTTTTTTAAATTAACTGAATGTGTTTTCTTAAATAGTTTATTGTCAAGTTGGTTTACATATAACACCCAGTGCTCATCCCAACAAGTGCCCTCCCCCATGCCTATCACCCTCCTTCCCTTCTTCCCCACCCCCATCAGCCCTCAGTTTGTTCTCAGCATTCAAGAGTCTCTCATGGTTTGCCTCCCTCCCTCTCCCCAACTCTTTTTCCCCTTCTTCTCCCTCATGGTCTTCCATTAGCTTCCTTCTAACCCACCTATATGTGCAAATATATGGTATCTGTCCTTCTCTGCCTGACTTATTTTGCTCAGCATAATACCCTCAAGTTCCATCCATGTTGCTAGACATGGTCAGATTTCATTCTTTCTCATTGCCATGTAGTATTCCATTGTATAGATAAACCACACCTTCTTGCTCCATTCATCAGTTGATGGCCACTTAGGTTCTTTCCATGTTTTGGCTAGTGTTGAGAATACTGCCATGAACATTGGGGTACATGTGCCCCTATGCATCAGCTCTCCTGTATCCCTTGGGTAAATTCTTAGCAGTGCTACTCCTGGGTCATAGGGGAGTTCTATTGTTAATTTTTTGAGGAACCTCCATACTGTTTTCCAGAGGGGTTGTTCCAGTTTTCATTTCCACCATCAGTGTAGGTTGGTGCCCTTTTCTCCACATCCTCTCCATCATCTTGAGTCTCCTGATTTGTTCATTTTAGCCACTCTGACTGGTGTGAGGTGGTATCTCAGTATGGTTTTAATTTGTATTTCCCTGATGATGAGGGACCACCCAGCACCTTCCTAAGGATGGTGTTACCTGGGAATTCTAATGCCATACTTGGAGAGGGTCTCTCCAACCCCTCCTCATGACTAAGGATGGGTGGAATCTGAACCCTCCAGGGAACTGAAATTCCAGATCCCCAGGGGTCACCCCCATCACCCACACATCTGTCCAACCAGCACCAGTGACAAGGAGGCTGGGTGTTGGGTCTCCCGTGCAGCTCCAGGTGGTGCTGAGTCAGGGATAGAGGGGCTGACAGAGGGTTTGCGTTCATGGCTGTGTCACAGTGTACTATGTTCGGCAGAGGGACCCGTCTGACCATCGTCGGTAAGTTTCCCCCTTTCTCTCCTCCTTCGGATCCAGTATACAATTTCTGGAGATTTTTCTCTGCTTTCTATTATGATCTGGTCTCAGGCTGAAGATCTGTGGAGTCTGTAAGTTTTCCCCTTTTGTCTGCCATTCATCACCTTCACCAGTCCCATCTTGTCAGATGTCTGGTCAGGACTACAGGGAACCATCTCCATGAACCTTTCCTGATCTAGACCAGAACTCAGGACTCACTGTGGCTCCAACCCTCCCCACAGACCTAATCCTCTGGAATCAGGGAATGATCAGTTCCCCAGTCATGGTCTCTGGGCTCCAAGACTCCAAGAAGAATTGAGGGATGAAGGACATGTCACTGGGGATTTGGGTAACAAAAGGGCCCAGTGGTGTGGGAAGGATTCTGGGGATGGCTCAGGTATTGGGTTTTATTCATGTGGGGTCCAAGGCAAAAGACAACCTGAAACAAAATGAGTAGAGCTTTGGTGTGGGAACTTGGAGACATGGAGGAAGAAGTGGGACAAGGGGTCAAGGATTAAGACAGGACATCAGAGGAAAAGGTGCTAGGACCTTCCACCTCCACAGATACAGTCAGGACAACAGCAACAAGACAGGTCTAAGGACCGTCCTGAGTCAGGACACTCAGGCTGCATGGAAACATCCATGCACAGCTTACCACTGCAGGAAAGTGCCCTGGGGAAGGAATCCCATGATACAGACACATGACAGGGACAGTGGCTGACATGCTTGCAGAAATGCTAAGACAGACATATCTCCCCAAATCAATTCACACCCCTCAGAACAGACATAGACCATCCTTAAAATTCATTTCCAGGAGTCTAAGGAGAATTGCAGGGTGAAGGCAAGGAATTGGGACACTTGGACTGCAAGCAGGGCCATGGGGTGAGGGGGGAAATCTGGGGATGGCTCAGGTGTATCATTCTGTCTTTGGCTCATCCCAGCTGAAGGGCTGCCTGAAGCACAGTGAGCAAGGCATTAGCCTGGGGACTTGGAGACATAAAGGTGGAAGTGAGGCAAGGGGGTCAAGGAGGTCATCAGAAGAGTACGGCCCCAGGGTACTAGACTCTTATATATCTTGAGGAACAGTAAAGAAACCATGATTAGGAAAGGTCTCAGGAGAGTGTTCTGTTAAGACATTCAGGCAGCAGGGGTATATCTCTTCACAACCCACTAAGGGAGGAGGGCTCCATGAGCAGATGCATGCTGTCCTAGTCCCCTGATAGGGACAGGTGACAGTGATGTTGACTGCCTGCCTTCCAGAAATACTAAACAGACAGACCCCCCAGTAAACTTCATAGAACAGAGAGACCATTCAGAGTAGACATGGCCTAACCTCTAAAGTTAAAATTCACCTAACCTGCAAACTCTCCATCTACAGGACCCCCTGGAATCTAGCTCCAGGAACTCTCAATTCTTATCCACACAGAATCCTTGGTCGGGAGGGGGATGCTACTGGGAGGTGGGCAAGGATGCAATCAATGATGGTGTGAGAGGCTCTGGAGACAAGAAACCTACTTTTCTTTTTTTCTTTTTTCTTTTCTTTTTTTTTTTAAATGTTTTATTTATTTCTAGGAGAGAGAGAGAGAGAGACAGCGTGAACAGGGGAGGGTCAGAGAGAGAGGGAGTCACAGACTCTGAAACAGGCTCCAGGCTCCGAGCTGGCAGTCAGTACAGAGCCCGAAGCGGGGCTCGAACCCATGAACCGCGAGATCATGACCTAAGCGAAAGTCGGACGCTTAACCGACTAAGCCACCCAGGCGCCCCTTTCTTTTTTCTTTTCTTTTCTTTCTTTCTTTCTTTTTTTTTTTTTTTTTTTTTTTTTACAAATAGTTTATCGTCAAGTTGGAAGAAACCTACTTTTCAAATGGTAACACAGCCCTGCAACCAGGACAGACTAGCTTTAAGGTAACCGGGTAAGCGACCTGGGGGATATGGCAGTGACACAAACACCTAGGACAGACAGACTCACAAGGTAAGGCAGGTCTCAGAGCTAGTGCCAGCCAGTTCCAGGGGCAGACTGTGTGGATTAGAAGAACATGTGACCTGGGGAGAGTCTGAGGCCATGCAGGGACCCAGACACTACAGAATCTGGAAGTCAGATTCATTGCAACAGAAAGTGAGTGACCCGTTCTGTGGCTGATCTGACCTCAGGGGGCTGGGACCACTTGATGCCCAAGCCATGGACTGCCGGGAGACGCACCGGCCTCTCTGGATGGCAGTCACAGCAAGGAAATGGTAGCGTTTGCACAGCGCCAGCCATGAGAAATGAAAACTGGTATCTCCTGCTACTACTGGTTCATGTTGTGCTGGTATTGACCATATCAATATTCCATATCAGACCAATATTCTGAACACAGATACCTCATAAGGAAAAACATATTCCTGCCTTTACAAAAGAGACTTTAGATGAAAGCTCTGTGGGTGACTGTCAAAAGGCTCTTCCTATGGGCCTTGCAGACCCAAGACTTGCATAATAAAGGGGGTTAAAAACACAAGAGTTACAATTGAGCCTGGCCCTGAGACAAAGAGCCTATTTTGTGGTTAAGGGCAGAGCACAGTTACTACATATATTTTTGCTAATTGGTGAAGCATGGCAGTCCTTCCTCAAGGCCTGCATTCCACAAACACCCTCCCTTACACTGGCAACTGGGATGAGGATAGATAAGAGTAGCTAAAACATAAACCCAGGTGCAAAGACTGACACATTTAGGGCCCCCATGTTAGTTTCCACAAATAAACCAATTCAGAAACATTTATCCTCTTGAGAACCAGACAGAATAACTCCTAGCTTATCTATATACAAGTTAACTTGTATGTTATCCTGTTTTTCACTAAGAACATTCTGTTATTTCCTTGGTCAGAATAATTCTGCAATTGATATCATAAAAGGCCTCCCACTGTAAGAAATTTTTTTCTCTGACCTCATGTTGTTGCTGAACTTTTAAATAAAGACACCAAAACCGACAGGACAGAGATGCCTGCCTGGTGATCAGAAAGAATCTCAGGGCTCTCTCACTCTCTCTCTCTCGCTGACACCGTCCATCCTTCAGGGACCACTGGACCTGCCGGAGCCGGCCTCCAGCAATGGACATGACAGAGCTGTTCCCCACATCAGGACTAAGGTAGGAGCTTCAGCCATGGATACCTGGCCTCTGACTTAACACTTCTCCACCGCCCCACAAGTCAGCCCAAGTCAGTGCCATCAGTCATGCTGTTCCCACCCTCCCATGAGGAGCTCAAGGCCAACAAGGCCATCCTGGTGTGCCTCATCAGTGACTTCTACCCCAGCCACTTGACAGTGGCCTGGAAGGCAGATGACACCTCCATTACCTAAGGCGTGGAGACCACCAAGCCCTCCAAACAGAGCAACAACAAGTACACAACCAGCAGCTACCTGAGCCTGTCACCTGACCAGTGGAAATCTCGCAGCAGATTCACCTGCCAGGTCACTCACGAGGGGAGCACCGTGGAGAAGAATGTGGTCCCCGCAGAGTGCTCTTAAGTGCCTGAGACCCCTACCCACCCAAGGGGATGTGCAGCCATTGAACCTCCAGGAAGGATCATCCTAGCCCTTCTCCCAGCACCCAATCATTGCTCAATAAAACGTCTCTTATTCAGTCAGAAATCATGCTGTTTAGAGTTAACTTTTTCTGTTCTGAGCTCAACTATCTTTAGGGGAGGATATCATTCTTTTGCCTCTTAGGATAGAAGCTGACAGAAAGATTGGCTTCCTCATGTTTTCTGAGCCAACTCTCAGCCAAAATTGCCTGAAAATATTCCTCAACAGGAGATACAATCAGCAGAAACAAGAGAAACCATCCACCACAATGTCTGCATACTTCCCTTTTTCTGTGAACCATGTCCACTGCCAATCATAGCTGCCCTCACTGATCTTGGGTCCCCTAGTGACTTCTAGGATAATCCTGAGCTTCTCCCTGTACCTGGCACCACACCATCTACAACTTGCCTCCTCTTGTGATGTTTACTTTTCTCTTCTTATAGACCCCCACTCAATGCCATTATTCCCTGGTTTCCTACTCTATGTGAACATTCCTGATCATACCAGCCTAGGGCCTCCTCCCTTTCTTATGAGAACCCCTGCTCCTACCTCCCCAGGAACAATCACATGTTCCCCCTCCCACCAGCTCTCTGTCATACTTCCTACAGGATGCTCTGCCTGAATGCTGGTCACTCACATCCACACTCCCACTGCTGGCACCTCCACACCTCCACACAACAATGTCTCTTCCTTCCCACTTGCATCCAAGTTCTCTGGGAGACAGACACCAGATATGCTCTGTAGGACCCATCGAGGCCAGACCAACCCATGAACCCATCACTTGTGCTTAGGTTATATGCCTGGGACCTCTATATTGTAAATCAAGGCTCAGATGCTGGGAATGGGCTGCTGACAGGCTTCTCAACTGACTCATCTTCTTAGGATATCAGTGCGGGTTCTGATCATAACACACACAAGCACACACACAGGTACCAATGAACAGAAACATACATGCACACACATGATAATCACAGAACCATTGGTTCATTTATAACTTGGCCATGGTGAACATCAGGACGAGCTTGGGTAGATATTGCACTGTGTACCGGGATGGGACATGAACAAAGAAAACTCAGTCCCTGCAGAAGCTACCAATGCCAACTAGTGACAATAGAAGGCCCCACAGATTGTGGTCTAGGCTGGAGTGAGACAAGCAACCTCATGAGCAGGTGGGAGGGAGTTGAGAAACAAAGTGAGAGCAATTCAGGAAAGAAAGCAGGAGTTCAGCTTGTAACTGTGTCACAGACAGAACAATGCCAGACCTGTGTGTTCCCTGTGTGAGCTCTGCAGGTGACATCCCCAGGCCTGGATGCAGGCGATGGCTCTAGATGTAAGAGACCCTCACAAAGTGAAGGTCATGTGTAGGGATACAGTATGTGTCCTGTGTGGCAGGGACACACTGTGCTAGTGATGCTCCTGTACGTGGGGCATGTGTGATTCTCATTCAGTACAATGGACCAGCACAGATTCCCACACTTCAGCTCAGGGTGAAATTGTTGGACCCAGTGAGTTCCTCCCCACCCATGAGGGACCCACCAGGTCAATCCACCTTACAATCAGCCCACACACCCCTACAGCTTAACAGCTGCCCTCAAGGGGCTCAGGACAGGGACCAAACAGTGGCCTTTCTACCTTCCAAAGGAACCAGTCAAAGGCATGGATTCAGGAGCACAGGGCCTAGAGAGGGATCTAAGTGCTGGGGAAAACATAATTCGCCTCCCAACATTTCTCATTCCTGACCCCAAACCTGCACAGTTTCCTGTGCTGACAAGGTTGTGGAATATCCAAGACTGCAAAGGGCTCCCAGCTTCATCATCTCTGTGCTGAAACAGCCCTGCTCACCCCTTCCACAATGACATCCTGATAAAGACTGAGGAGAGCACCCAGCACCTTTTTAAGGATGGCATTAGCTGGGAATTCCCATCCCATACTTGAAGAGGGTCTCTCCAAACCCTCCCCATAACTGAGGATGGATGGAATTTGAACCCTCCATGGAACTGAAATTCCAGGTCCCCAGGGGCCACCCCCCACACCCACCCATCTGCCCAAACAGCACCCATGACAAGAAGGCTTGGCTTTGGGTCTCCCATGTAACAGCAGTCATGGGAGTAACCTGGGTCAGGGCTGGAAGGGCTGACAAAGGGTTTATGTTCAAGGCTGTATCACAGTGTCTTACTTTTGGCAGTGGGACCCGTCGGACCATTGTCGGTAAGTCTTCCCCCTTTACCTCATTTTTCAGATTAGGTGTACAATTTCTGGAGATTTTTCTTTGCTTTCTATTATGACCTGAGCTTAGGCTGAAGGTCTGTGGGTTTGTAACTTTTTCCTCTTTTGTCTGTTCCTCATGGCTTCCACCTGTCCATCTTGTCAGATGTGTGGTCAGGGCTACATGGGACCATCTCCTTAAACTCTTCCTGATCTAGACCTAAACTCAGACCTCACTGTGGCTCCAGCTCTTTCCCCATGAGAACCTTCTCTTCTAGACTCAGGGATGTTCACCTCTCACTCAAGGTCTCTGGATTATAAGAGTCCAAGGAGAATTGAGGGATGAAGAACAAGGGACTGGGAGTCAGGCTGCCAGAGGGACCATGGGATGTGGAAAGATTTCGGGGGATGGCTGAGACACTGAGTTCCATCCTTACGGGGGTCCTAGACAGAGGACTTCCTGAAGCACAGTGAGAAGAGCCTTGTCTGGAAACTGGGAGACATGGAGGAGGAAGTGGGACAAGGGGGTCAAGGATTAAGGGAGGGTTTCAGAGGACAACAGAGCCATGGGTGCTAGGAACTTCCACCTCCACAGGGATAGTCAGGACACCAGAAACAAGACAGGTCTCAGTACTGTGACCTAAGGTCAGGACAGTCAGGCAGCAGGGGTACATCCCTTCATGGCCCATCACAACAAAAAAGTGCCATGAGCAGGTATATGGGCTAGAGTCCCCCGAATTGGACAGTTGACAGGGAGTTACAGGCTCCAGAAACACTAAGACAGTCAGAGCCCCCAGCATCAATTCACAGAGCAGGGAGATCCCTCAGATCTGACATAGCCTAGCCTCAGAACTTCAAATTCATCTCACCTGCAAAATCTCCATCTACAACACTCCGTGGAATCCAGCTTCAGAAACTCCCACTTCTTACCCAACAAACATCTATATGCAGGGTCCCTGCGGGGAGGTGTGCAAGGCTACAATGATGTGAGGGGCCCTCGGGACACGAAACCTACTTTTCAAATGGTAACACAGGCAAGATGGCAGAGAAGTAAGGAGCTCCGTACTTGCACTCGCGCCCATACCTCACACGGAAAAGATCTGAAGCCATCGGAAATCTTACAAAACCTGAGAGATTGAGAGAAAAAGGATGCAGAATCCACTGAGAAAGCCTTATAACGTGAGTGCGAACTGGGGAAGATAAAATCAGGCCGGGATCAGAGACTCGAGGGTCGAAGGTGATCCCCCTCTGCAGGGAGTGAGAGGGGAAAAAGAGAGAGTCCGAAACAGAAAAACCTCCGCTTGGGGTAAAACCTCTGCTCGGGGCATAGAGAGACTGTGCACGCCAAATACCTGCATACCAGGTCCTCTCGCACCAACTAGTCCTAGAGGGGCTGAGCACACAGACTGCTTCTTTGTGCTTGCTCCTGGCCAGCTGGACTTTGGGAGTAGCAGCACACCTGCCGCCATTGTCCTCCGGGTGGGCTTGGGCCCCAAAAAGAGCCGCGCGCGGACACCGGGCGTCCGCGCTCCTGGCTGGCTGGCTGGAACTCTAGAGGGAAGGCAAAGAGCTAAAAACTGGGAGATTTGCCCTCAAGTTCGTGTTTCAGGTGATGAGACATAGAGGGACCTGGTTTTCATCACTTCAGCGGGCTCGGCGCACCCGGCAGGCAAGCCCCCGCCCATGCTCCCCAGCCCGACCCAGAGAAGGAAGCAGCAATTCTGACTCCACCCCCAGAGCTAGGCAGGGGGCCTGGAATTGCCCCGAGGGGATTTCCTGGGAAGTTGTGTCTAAGGCAATTTCAGCGGGGTGCGCGGACTGGGATTTGGAGACTGGGACTGGCCTGAGTGGAAGAGCGTAACCAACTTTGGCTGCGCCCCCAGTACGGGAGTTTACATGCCCCCAAAAAAGAGGTGCAGCGCTTGGTTCAAGAAGGGACTGGAGCAGCGCCACTCTCCTTCCCACAACCGACAAGCAGAACCCCCGCCAGACCCATTGGATCACACCACCCCCATCCCTGCTTGAGAGCTGCCTTCCTACCATTTTTTTTTTTCTCTTTTCTCTCTTTTTTCCCCATAACACTGACCTGATTAACTCTGGTCACTGGCTTGCTTAAACAATCACAATGGGTCCATTCTATAGATGTAAATTATACACCTACCGACATTTTCATCTCTTTCTCTCAGGAGTAATTAGACTATATAGTTTCTCCGGATAATACCAGCGTCCTTATCTCACCTATCCAATCATATTCTACCCTTTAGCTCTTTGAAAAAAGCTTTTTATCCCTTCTGCCTGTTCATTCTTTTTCCAATTTTGCCTCATCCCCGCCCTGTCTTCTCTCTCTTTCTCTATGCTCTTCAACCAGCGCTGCATACACAAGGCCATTTAACTAGCTGGGAAATCCGGTTATATGCTTTAAACCGTTCTTTGTCCATCGGTTTTCTCATTTTTTCCTTTTCTTTTCTGTTTTTTGATATTTTATATATTTTATACTCTCTATTATTTGCCCTCCCTGCTCCGTCCTTTCTTTTAACTTTTTCTTTTTCCCTCTCAGTTTGCATGTTAGTTGAATTAGTCTGTGCATTTGTGTGCTCCTGCTC